GGACCCACTGACTTGGCAATCTGGAACAGTTCATCTGCATGGAGAGTGAGCAGGGTCTTTTTGATGGCCCACACCAACCTTTTCCTCTCACCATCCGCCATACTGTTTCCCAATTCCTCGCACTTGGTCACGAGAGTCCAGGATCACAATTCACTGTCTGTTCTTGATTAGTGGTGATTTCAGCACTGCACAGTCATTATTCTTTGTTCATTACAGGTAACCTCTTCCTCAGCAGCCAGAATCGATGATATCTAGAGATCTTTTTCACTGGCTGCAGCTCACCGGTTGCATCAGGTCACTTTTGGTCCAAGGTTGCAGAATCACTGGATCAGCTTCCGACCACCAGGTGGGAGTGATCCCGGACGAGCCCCCAATAAACTGTTACAGGTACCGGCTGGCACCACGTAAACAGCTTATATGCTCTTTCTGGAAACAGGAGAAATAAGTGAGACAGGGAAAACCATGTGTCCGTTTTTCATCTCGCTCAGCAGAAAGAGAGAGAGAGGATTTATTAAACATCCACAATTTAAATCCTCCTCTATTACAAACACTCAATGTCCTCTATGAAATAAACTCGTCTTCAAAATAAAATACAATGTGTCTTTTTTTCATCTTTCAGCAAATGCTGAGTTATAAGTTTTGGGTGATTGAATAAATCAAAATGAATATAACCACTGTAAGTTGTCTCTTTTCAACTTAAAATAGTGTAACCCTTTTCTCCTGAAACATTTAGAGCAATAAGGAAAATAAAACAGTATTTCCTTCAAAACAAATTAAACACTTGAAGACTCAACAGGTTTTTTTCCTTTCAGTAGGCCTATGCAAATTAGTTGCGAGTCAGTGACGCAGTCAAATATACTCGAGTCAGTGTCACAGTCACGGCCGTTCGTTATTGTTGGGGCCCAGTTTGTTGGTGCACATTTACAGCTAACGAATTCAATGTAGGCCTACTCACATTCAACAGTCCCGGAAATGAATTCACTTACGTCCATCCGACGAAAGAAGCAATGGTGAAGTCACATACAATATGAACACAGTTTCACACGAGCAGTCCTGGACACGAGATGAATGATGTTGATCCACGTCCCACGACGACGAACCACACAATCTTTCCAGTCCTGGATAAATTCTGAAGTCCAACACAAACGTCTAATAACTCCGACACAGTTATGGACCAAGAATTTGAATGTCACTAGCTGTTAAGCCCTCATTACACACGTCTCAACTCAGCGCGTTGACTCAAAGATCACAAAGAAGATAACAGAAAAAAAAAAAAACTTCAAATAGCAAAAATGAAATAAACCAAGCGTCGTTTCTCTACACTTTGGGCCTTATATCACATCAAGGGCGTAGGTTTAGGGGGGGACGCTAGGTACTAGTCCCAATCAATATTTTGAGATGACAAATTTGTCCCCACCAATATTTAGCAAGCTCCTTTGAACTGCTATTTTGATATTTGCGCTGCTATTTGGATCGATTCCAACGGCCAGGACGACGACAGTACAAGATACGCCGTAATTTGATTGGCGGCGGGGTATCTGACAGGCAGGCTACACGCGCGGGCCGGGACTACTTTTTGTGCTTGCACTCACAGCGAGCGGGTGGTGTGTGCGTGTGTGTGTTTGTGTGTGTGTGCGCGCGTGACGACGCCGACGGTAAGTTACCAGGGCTGTCTGTCTCTCTGCATGCCATATACAAAGGCCAGGGTAAAACATTTTAATATTCCCTTTTTTGCCCCTTTTTGTACTTTGTAGATCAGCTATGTCACCCAAGAAGAAGAAAGGGGACATAGGAAGCTTTTTCATAAAGCAGAGTGTAGGCAAAAATAACTAGCCACACAAATAACTAGCAGTAGTAGTGAGTGACTGACCATGCTTTCAAATGCAGATTCTACTGTGGAAAATAGTTTTAACTGGTGATCCTGGTTACCCAGGATATTGTTACAGTTAAACCTAGCTTCTGCAATCTTTCAAGGTTAGGAGCATTAATTAGGGGTGTGCAGCACGGATAGACTCATAGAAGTCGCACTATCATGATAGACGTTAGCAAGTCACTGAATGTTAATTAGCCTACCTTAACTTAGAATCTTGCAGTCATAAACAGTGGATCATCTGAGACATTTTTCGTTTCTACATTCTGTTTATGTAATGTATTTGTGAGTGTAGCCTATTTGCTAGACACATGTCTGGAAAAACATGTTGGCAATGTTAAAAAGGCAAAAGTAAACACACTCTAAGAAATGAAATGTTGTATTTAATTAATAAAGTTATGTCAACCGGTCCCACAAAACTTAGTTGCTTAAATGGAAAAGGTAATATACAATTAATTCTAACATAATGTTTTAAGTAAATCGTTCATAACTGTGTTAATTAAATGGTACATTACACAATTATTTTGAATAAATGTAAATTATTGTCTTGAATTTAATGACTATAGCTTGAATTAACATGACCTGATTAAGTTCAATTTATTAAACAGAAATAAGCTTTGCTAATGTAATCCATTTGTGTTGATTGTACTTAACGACTGGAACTTAGTTGCTCCTCTGTTAAAAAACAACAACTACTCAAGTCACTTTAATTAACTTTATTCACCTTTGGTTTTTAAATATAATTAGTCAAAGTAATTTTGACCTTCTATGTGCATTACTATATCTGGGACTGTCATGACTGACACAATTATGAAAAATATGTAAGCAAAACTTACATACAAATACAAAGTGTACAAATAAAATTGAAGACACCAACATAAATCCAAGTATAAAATGCAAATAGATCAATACAAATAAAAATCCTAAAATATAAAACTTGTCTGTGAATCTCTTTCACCATCTGACAATGTTCAATCCCATTATAGCTAGTCCCAAAAGTGAATCTGAACTTTGACAACGGCAAGAATGTCTAACATGTATTGCCTGCCGAAATAAAAAAAAATAGAGGCAAATCCTTATAGTTTTTTTTTTTTTAGCTTAATAAACTTCTTTAACTATAAACTTTTCTCAAGGAAGAAAAAAACAATTTGACAACTCGGACTAACAGACTAAATGGATAAATGATTGTTGCACTGCATGTCCACTATGTGCCAGATTTTCGGTCTCATCAAATTTGATCACAAAATACATCATTGGCATTGGAACAATGAGATATACAGTAATTTATCCTTTTTTTTTTAAACAGTCAGAAACACAATGAGCCTAAATAATCATGTATATGCAGTAGCCTAATATATTTAACCATTCCATTTTAGTGGAAATTTGGAGAGCCAAACTCCTGCCAAGAACAAAATATATTTTTAAACAAATACATTTTTTACCTTGAGGCCTCAGTAAACTTAAAAGGAGAACTCCGGTCAATTTTAACATTGAGCTCATTTTTTTGTACATTTGGAGTGCTGTCAGTACAGACAAAAATGACAAAAATCGGTGTTACCTACACCGTGTTATCCTCTTTTTAAAATTCGCACCCTGTTGACTTCAATGGGGCAAGTTCTAAACCTGCTTTTAGCCTCTTAACATCCTTGATTTGTCATTACAAGAGCACAGCCATGTGAGTGGTGTTATTAAGAGTGACCACGGTCAATCTGACTGCAGTAGATCTGAAAGATATGAATAAAAATGATGTTAATTCAGCCAGCTCAAATACCTGTATTTACTTCCTGTTTTCGTTCGAAGTCCACAGCAGTCGATTGCAGTTCGCGCGGGTGATCATTGGTAACTAATATAACTAATGATCGCGCGCGTGAACTCGACAATCGACTGCTGTGGACTTCGAACGAAAACAGGTATGTGAGCTGGCTGAATTAACATCGTTTTTATTCATATCTTTCACATTTACTGGAGTCAGATTCACCGTGGTCACTCTTAACACCACTCACATGGCTGTGCTCTTGTAATGACAAATCAAGGATGTTAAGAGGCTAATAGCAGGTTTAGAACTTGCCCCATTGAAGTCAACAGGGTGCGAATTTTAAAAAGAGGATAACACGGTGTAGGTAACACCGATTTTTGTCGTTTTTGTCTGTACTGACAGCACTCCAAATGTACAAAAAAATGAGCTCAATGTTAAAATTGACCGGAGTTCTCCTTTAAGCAATTCACGTTTAAATTCCCATCAAATGGATGAATTCCAAAAAAAAAAAAAAAAAAAAAAAAATTCTAATAGAGCAATATAAATAAAAATTCTAAAATATAAAACTTGTCTGTGAATCTTTCACCATCCGATAATGTTCAATCCCATTATAGCTTTATAGTCCCAAAAATAAATCTGAACTTTGACATCAAGAATGTCTAACAGGTGTTGCCTGCCGAAATAAAAACAAAAGAGGCAAATCCTTATTGTTTTCTATATGGAAGGAGGTTAAATTAACTGAAGTTTACAAGCAAGAGGATTTATGCTGCAGAAAATTCTCACTTCACCGTTAGAACATACTAAGTTCAGACTTTACATACATGCTGACTTAGAGAACGTTTTTATGAAAAATAAAAGGTTTACCGTTTGCATCAACAGGAGAAAAAGAAAATCAGCAATCTAATAAATGCCGTTTATGTAACCAAAAACAATATTCACCTTAAATTGTTTGAGATGGCTTCATTATAATAACAAACCAGTGTACGTTGTATTTAATGTTTTGATCTAATTAGAAATCAGAAAATAAGTGAAGTTTAAATGCCAATTACCACAACCAACATTCTGTGTTTAGATTGCTAGATGTTTTGTCTAGCAGCAGTCCAAAATCCAAAGAACTGAGCCTCCCCAAGCAAGTCGATGACCAACTACAGTCTTGTCTGCTTATTTCAAACATTCATTGATCACAGTGTACTTTTAAAAGTCCAACGCCAGGTCCAGTCTACATTCTGTGTTTAGATTGCTAGATGTTTTGTCTAGCAGCAGTCCAAAATCCAAAGAACTGAGCCTCCCCAAGCAAGTCGATGACCAACTACAGTCTTGTCTGCTTATTTCAAACATTCATTGATCACAGTGTACTTTTAAAAGTCCAACGCCAGGTCCAGTCTTGTCTGGTGCAGGTGATTTTACTCATGCAGTTTGTTTTTGAGGACCTGCACTTTAGTGGAGAGCTTGTTCCCATCCAATTCCATGAACACTTTCTGAAAAAATTCGAAAGTGTATCGCAGCTCCTTGGGATAGCTCAAGTTTAAACAGTAGATCAAGCCAAACAGGACTGCACATCCATTTGTAACCTCTCTCAGATCTCGCAGCACTGTACAGCCTTCAATGACGACGCCAACATCCTCAGGTGGATCTGTAGCATCTGCTCCATCATGTCGAACAATGTAGAGACCCAAAGCCAGTCTCTCCATTTCCGTCATTGCCTCAATACCAATATCCTCAATAGCCTATGACAAACAAAGACACCCATTATTAATTATGCATCTATGACACTAGTAACAAACCAAAAAGATGTTAAAAGAACACTCCACCGTTTTTTTCATATTAAACTATGTTATTCCCTTAATTAAGACGAGTTGATATATACCTCTCTCGTCTCAGTGCGTGCACTCAATCGCTCTGGCGCGCAGCGACACTTTGATAGCCCAATTCATTCATTAAGATCCAAACAGAGATGAAGTTAGAAGCGACCAAACACCTCCACGTTTTCCCTATTTAAATACAGTTACACGACCAAGTATGGAGACACAAAATAAAACGTGGCGCTTTTCTAAGCGGGTAAAATGGATAACTATAATGTATGGCGGAATAGGACTTGGGAGCACTTCGACTCGGCGCAGTAATATCATCGGAGTGATGATTTTGTGTCTCTATACTTGGTCGTGTAACTACTCGTGTAACTGTATTTAAATAGGGAAAACGTGGAGGTGTTTGGTCGCTTCTAACTTCATCTCTGTTTGGATCCTAATGAATGAACAGGGCTATCAAAGTGTCGCCGCGAGTGATTGAGCGCACGCACTGAGACGAGAGAGGTTTTTTTTTTTTGTTTTTTTTTTTTGGCTTAACTTTACAAAATTTTATATACTAATGTAGAAATTGTTGTCCATTATGTTTATATAGCATAACATGCATGTTCTTAGCCTACACCATTGGTTCCCAAACCTGTCATAATGAGCTGATGAGTTGAATCAGGTGTGTTTGATTAGGGAGACAAAGAAAACATGCAGTGTTGGGGGTACTCCAGAAAGAATGCAACTTACCCAGTACTCCTTAATAAGGCTGTCAGGCTTTTCATTTAAGTAGACGCACAACGCCTTTAGGATGCATGTCCGTCGTACTTCAACACTGGGATTCTGTGGGAAACCAACAACTGATTTTGAACAATTTAATTGAGGAAACTGCCATTATCACATTGACAAATCTATTATGACCTTATTCTACCAAGCTTTTAATTAACTGATTTGTGCAATTTTCATGAAATGTCAGTTGTAAATCTGTAGTTCAGCTTGTGGTGTTGAATCTGCATTAGTCAACTGCCTGATATCCACACTCATTCCTTTTAAGGACATCATTTTGAGAAAATAATTTCACTGTTTAGCGAGCCACAATTTACACAAATAGCTCAAGTGTTTCTCAAGCTTATACAATTGACACATTGAAGGAGGCAGTATTGTTCAGTTTGAACTAAAGTATACATTATTGAATGGACGAATGAACAATTGCATCAGGCAATTCAGAAAAGCAGATTCAACATTTCACAAGCAGAATTGCAGATGTACAACTGACATTTCATGATAATTTGCACAGAATATAAAGCATCCTTTTTATAAATTAAAAATATTTACAGAAATACATCTATTTGTACAAATCATAGAATGTTGTATGATGGTATTTGCAAATATTGTCAGTTGGATCATGGTATTTGCAAATAATTTATCTTTCCATAGAAAGGTTAAAGACCATAATACAAAAAAGCATAATTATGTTTAGAGTAAATGTTAAACCCCCAGGGGCCAGAGCCCAAAATACACCTAAAACACGTACCTTGTCCATTTCTGCAAGGATTATGTCGATATCACGTCTTGCTGTTCCCCCCTTCTTTTTGAATACCCTCAATAGCTGGCTGGAGTAATGATCCAGTTGGGACATAAAGGTTGAGAACAGGGGGACTGTGGTGATGAGGGTGAATTCTGCATTTACCTGAAACGTATTAAAACACAAATTCACTACGAGTCTTTTAAGTTAAAACAAAATATGTCAAACACAAACTCTGTGGGCTACATCTGGCCGTGGTACAATTATATCCAGTTAGCCTCGATAGTGGAGCTGGCGTGCCCTTAATAATAATATTGAGACAGCACTACAGTACCAGTTCTTAATTTTGGCCCTCTCTGTAACTTGAGTTTGACACCCCTGGTGTAGAGGGAACATAAGTTTGCTTTTGGCTAAATGTTTTTAGTTGGTGGTTCAATGTATCTGTAACCATTTTATATGGATGTATGTGTAATGTGCATTGTAATATAGATTAGAACAACCACATGCATGGATTCTTACCACATTGCCTCCAAACCTTTGTGAATTAAATATTACTCATTTGTTTTCTACCCCAATACATTATTTAGACATTAATTCCACTTATTTAAATTAAATACAGATGATGAGTAATACTTTACCTGGCTCTCAGAAAACAGGGCTGGCCATCTGTTTTTGAACTCTGCTATGAAGGGCATATCTTTAACGACTTCCTGTCTTCTATAGGCAAAGGTTCTTTCCATTTTACTTTTGATTAGCTGTTGGTTGTTCTTCTTTTTCACCTCCAATATAAGTGCTTTCCTTTCTTCCTCAAGGCTCTCTTTAGTTTCACCTGCAGGGTAATCAGGACAATAGTTGACTTCTGCTTTCCGTGGCTTCTTTACCTGGTTAGGTCCATGACTCATGGCACCTCGCTTTTCTTTTACAGCGTTGATGCTCAACTCGGGGCAGCCAATGCTCCTTAGTCTGGTGCGGTAGTTTGCCATTTTGTACTTCAAACTAATTTTCCATCCATAAAAGCCAGTGACAGATCCTTTCTCCCTTAAAAAGGGATACTTTGTTATGAGAGCCTGAGCCACATCATCAAGCTCTGTACTAGAAGGATAAACTTTGTATTTGATGATTTCTGATGCCAAACCATCTAGTATATCGGACCTAAGTTTGTTACTTGTTGTAAGAAGAGTTCCACTGCTGCAGAAGGCTTGTTTTGCCTTTTCTAACTGAATCTGTACCTCATAACTGAACTGAGGTATTTCAAAGTTTGTGGGCCATGGCAGTGACCTAAGGGAAGTGCCTGAAGATGTAGATTCAGCGGAGGAAAGTATGTCTGTGTCTGATGCTGAGGACAGCAAAAAATCATCTTCCCCTTGCGGAACAGTAGTGAGTGTGAGTGTGATTGTCTCATCTGGCAAGTTAATAACTTTAACTGTGCTCTTGTCTTTGATTTCTGAAGTGTCCGTTAAGTTCATAAACTCATTGTCGAAATCAATGTCTCTATACTGCAGCCTGAAATTTCCAGACAGGCCGAAGTGTCTTCCAATCTCTCCTTTAAGGTCCTCTATGGAATTGGGTATTCCATTGGGGAGAATTAATTTTGATGCGTTGTCTACTCCAAATATGATTCTCAGAGTTGCAGACATCTTGTATTCATTCTGCAAAACAAAAGGAAAGTTTCTTTAAGAATAATTCACTTTGTGTCTCAAAAGGCCTATATACCTCCTTTCCCCCCTCCGATTAACATACATATATTTTTATGATAGCCCTATATAATAATAAAATGTAATTAGTTTTTGTATTATGAATTTGAGCACACTTTTGCTACACAACATTATCTGATTAACCAATAAATTAGAAAAGTAAAGCCTCCACATAAAATTTTTACCTGTCACATGTACAAATCTTTTTAAAGTCACCATTCGTATGGATCCAACTTTGTAGTCAGCCAAAGGATACTGGTCAGCAAGCTCCTTCAAACCAACAGCTGCAAGCTCTCTTGTTGGATGCAACTCATAAGCTCGATAGTGCTCTCTGTACCATGAGATAAGTTTTTTAACAATGAAAATCAAATCCTCTTTTATAATGCACAGCTGAATTATTTCAGAGAATTCTGGAAGACCCCCACATGATCCATGCACAACTATCATACCTTTTTTGTAGATTATGCCATTAACAGTGACACTTTGGGCAAGGTTTACATCAGTGATGTCAGGGTATGTTTGGGTAATTGTGTTCAATACATCCTCATTAAGGACCTCAATGGGGACTTTTGAAACTTTCGCAACATCCAAGGAAGGCTTTTCATTGTCAGGACAAAGCATATTATAGGAAACCATTAACTGATGCTTGGTAGCTAATGACAGAGTTATGTTCCTGAAGTTATTTAAATGCCTAGCAACTTGCTTAAAAAAGCTGTGTTTGGCCTCGAACCGCATAGTCCATAATGACACGAGGGGACCAAAACATTTAATCATTTCTGGATAGTGTTCCAGAAAATGATGTTTAGGCAACAACTTCTGTTCAGGAAAGAGTTCCTGATAACGTTCTCGATGCTCTGAGATTTTGCACTCCAAATATGCAATCGATTCTAGACAATGAACAGGGGCAACAACCAATTCAGCAATATCCTTTAAATCCAAAATCACCTGCCAAGCAGGTTCATCACTGGGAACAAGTTTACCAATGATAAAAGGAAGTAATCGAAGAAGACACCAGTTTTCGTGGGCATTGCCACCCAATGTGCTTTTTTTTTTTAAAGTTTTAGGTAGCAAATGAGGGCGGTTTGTTTTATCCCCCTCTTTGTATGGAAAAGAAAGGATACGATTATTAAGGTGTTCAAGAGTGAAGAACTTCTTAGATAAAAGCACATTAATGCACCGTGCTAGTTCTACTGGAACTATGCCCTCAAACAGATCGTGGACAATATCTGGGGGGTAACCACTTGTCACATTAAAGTGAGACAGACTGTCGGTTAAAACACAAGGAGTTTTTACACCAAAGCAGCTTTCCCCTTTTTCTTGAGCCGTCTTTACGTGAAGCTGATGGACTTCCTTGGTTCTACGCTCAAATACCCCTGATTTCACTTCTTTCACCTGAATTTCACAATGCTGAGCTGTACAAAACCGACAGAAATATTTTCCCGAAAAACTCTCGACAAATCCAGCTAGCCCATGAGCCCCCAGATTATCTGCAACAACGCATTGTACTGTGCCCTTGATAAATGACCCAAGTTGTGGAATAAACAGCCCCTGCTGCTCCAAAGTCACTATATCATGCAATAGAGGCTCAAGTATTTGTTTGTAGCCATAAGCTTTAACATGATCACTTTTGCACAACAATGCTAAGTAGATTGAGGACAGGACTGAGCTGCTACCAGGAGGCAAGTTACCTAAAATCCAGTAGACTGCACACAGTTTGTGTTTTTTGCGTGAAGTTCCCAACGGATTACAAATCTCAAAGTCATCGATGTACAAACATAAGGAAATCCTTAAATCCTCACCTGAAAAGAAAGGGTTGTTTTTGTGGTACTCACCGTCCTGAAAAGACGCATACTGGTTTACATTTGCAGAAGAAACTGCATGATTATCAAGAAGCTTATCAACTATATCTTTACGTCCAAGTAGCTGCTGTAGAGAACTCAGTAAGGGAACGTACTGAAAGGTTTTGTTGGACCTTGCCTCTAGTACATACTCAACAGGTTCCACAACCTTAAAGTTTTCCTTATAGAACTGTTTACGTTTGAAGGCTGAGGCTAATGGACCACCCTTAGCTATAGCTATTACCAAAGGATTATTGGTAGAAATGGCTAAGATGAGTTCATTAATTATTAACTGATTAACCTGAAGGTTATGCTTATTGAAAATGTCAAAAGCTGTACTGTGTGATACAGGCACTGCAGCAGATGTAAAAATGAAATGCAACTCTTCCAGTAACTCATCAATTGTAGAGCTTGGTACATGTGACAAAGTCTCTAATTTCAGAAGGACTGATGCCAATTTTTTAATTATTGTGTCTTGCAAGTTCTCATTTTCGGCCTCAGCTTCAATCAAATTGTCACAATCTAAATCAGAAGCAATTTCAGCAGTTGAATGATTTTCAGATAGTTGAAGCTCATCATTTGTATCACATCCTTTCAATAGTCCAACTTTAAAGTCTTTTATAGTGCAATGTGCATGCTTCCTATTCTTATGGGATTTGAAAGTAGCATATATATTGGTTTGAAAACAACAATTTTCAAACATACAAGTTACTGTTTCATAACTCCTCAGATGGTTGTTTACATGAGAAAAGTACTCTGTACTAGATGCTATTTCACTTCCTGGACACAAAGGGCATGTCAATATTACTTGTTCTGTAGTCCTTAAATGTAAAACATCAACATGAGATCGACTCAAATGAGTTTTAAGTGCATTCCATGTTTTGAATGAGCATGGGCATTCATAGTATGTGCATGGATATCTGGAGTGTCCTAGACCATAATTGCCATGGATTAATTTATAGTGTTTTAGTAATTGGTACCTTGTAGATTTACTTTCAGAACACTGTTTGCACCTCCACATTCAGAGCCTAAAAAAAAAGACATGAAAGTGTTAATGATACAGAGTCCCTTCCAAATCTATATCAATTATATTTGAGCCACTGGCTCATCTCATGATGGGCGCAGTGTATGCCCGCCTTAATGCCTGGTTCAGATTACACTATTTTAGCACGATCCGTTTGAGGTAGGATGTAGTGGTAAACAACAATGGGCGTTGGGACGCAAGATTCGATCGTTTCATCTTGTATAGTGTGTCATAGTGGGCGACAACCTACATACTTCATGACATCATGCCAAAAATAAAAAAAAATTGGTCATCCATGACGGGTTCTGTCAAGAGTGAGTGAGTGAGCGAGAGTATGCGAGTGAGCGTGTGTGTGTGTGCGCGAGTGAGTGAGCGAGGGTGTGTGTGTGTGAGTGAGCGTGTGTGTAAGTGAGTGAGTGAGCGAGCGTGTGTATGCATGCAAGCGTGTGTGTGCGCGTGCGAGTGAGTGACAGTGAGTGTGAGCGAAAGTGTGAGCGTGTGTATGTGCGTGAGTGACAGTAAGTGTGTGTGCGCGCGAATGAGTGAGTGAGCGACAGTGGTTAAAGACCATAATAGTGTGTGTGCCAGTGCGTGTGAGTGTGCGCGAGTGAGTGAGCGTGTGTGTGCGCGCGAGTGAGCGAGCGACATGTGTTGGTTTTGTGTGCGTGTGCACGCGAGTGAGTGAGCTTGTGTGAGTGAGCGAGCGACAGTGAGTGTGCGTGTGTGTGCGTGAGCGAGCGACAGAGTGTGTGTGCGCGCGAGTGAGTGAGTGAGCGACAGTGAGTGTGTGTGCGCGCGTGAGTGAGCAAGTGTATGTGCGACAGTGAGTGTGTGTGCGCGAGTTAGTGAGTGAGCGATAGTGAGTGTGTGTGTGCACGCCAGTGCGTGTGTGTGCGCGGGAGTGAGCAAGTGTGTGTGCGTGAGTGACAGTGAGCGTGTGTGTGTGAGTGAGCGAGCGACACCGAGTGTGTGTGCCAGTGCGTGTGTGCGTGAGTGAGCGAGCGAAAGTGAGTGTGTGAGCGTGTGTGCGAGTGACAGTGAGCGTGTGTGCGTGAGTGAGCGAGCGACAGTGAGTGTGTGTGCGCGAGTTAGTGAGTGAGCGATAGTGAGTGTGCGCGCCAGTGCTTGTGTGTGCGCGGGAGTGAGCAAGTGTGTGTGCGCGAGTGACAGTGAGCGTGTGTGTGAGTGAGCGAGCGACAGTGAGTGTGTGTGCGCGCGAGTTAGCGACAGTGTGTGTGTGTGTGTGTGTGTGTGTGCGCGCGCGCGAGTGATCAAGTGTGTGTGCGCGAGTGACAGTGAGCGTGTGCGTGAGTGAGCGAGCGACAGTGAGTGTGTGTGTGTGTGTGTGTGTGCGCGAGTGACAGTGAGTGTGTGAGCGAGCGACAGTGAGTGTGTGTTACGTGCCATGACTTAATATTTAGCCTAGTGTGCATGTTGTGCTGGTGATGTTTTTTCCCCCTCCTTCTCTCTCTCTCCGCCATGCAGCACTCCAAACCATCCACAGCTGATGCTAATTAGTAGGAGCGTGTATAAAGCAGCAAAGAAACTGTGTTCAGCTCTTCAGCTATCCCAGACACATTGGTGTTAACTGCAGTTGTAACTTATCTGTGAAATCTGTTGTCTGAGTACAGTGACAATGTGTGAGTTTAAAGCAGGGGTGGGGAACGTTGATCCTGGAGGGCCATTGTCCTGCAGAGTTTAGCTCCAACCCTAATTAAACACACCTGAAGCTAATCAAGGTCTTCAGGATTGCTAAAGTAACAGGCAGGTGAGTGTTTTTTTTCAGGGTTGGAGCTAAACTCTAGGACAGTGGCCCTCCAGGATCAACGTTCCCCACCCCTGGTTTAAAAAGTTAAACCGTGAAGGGAGGCAGGTGCCAATTTTTTTTTGATTATCCACTTCTGAACTTTTCTCCTGCTTATATTCCGTTAGTCAGGGAGAGAGGTAAGATAACTGTATTTCATTTTTATTCCTTTTTTTTTTTGTTAGGGAATTTAACTGGGTTTAAACTTTAGGAAGCCCCTGTTTTGTTTGTTATTTTGGCTCACAAAATCGTGTACTCTGACACCGTGACTATATCGTAACAGACAAAAAAATCTTGTAATCTGAACCAGGCATAACAGACAGACAGCAGAACTAATTTAAAAAAGAGCTTAAAAAAACATCAAAACAATATTAGTTTAATACTGTAGCCTACTGGAACTAAAAAAGAACATGGCTATGCCATGTGTTCTGTTAGGCTAATGTTAAATGTCAATTAAAAAAAATAAAGTACAATGTTTAAGGCTAAATTACAACTAAACTAAAATAACTACACAGAATTCTCAATATTTCGGAAATTTAAGGACCACTTCGAACACTAACTATGACAAGGATACAGGCTAATTCTGTGTAAATTAAGCTAACAAGAAATCGTTTTAAAGTATCAACAAAGTTTACGGCTAAGCGCCGTGATTACGGCTAATCTGTTGTCACAAATGTACAATTGTAAAATATATTACTAAAAAAAACGTTCTACTTACCAAGTCATTTATGGATGATAACGGATTCAAAAGTTGCCCAAGGACAGATGGAAATGCTATTATCGTCTCGGAGTCGTGCATCATGTGCGAGATTGCAAGTACGGAAAGCGCTTTGGGACAATCTTCAACCGCTAGTAGGTTTAAAATAATCTGGTTACGTTGGTTTAAATCTGTGACATTTTGTAGACTTGAAATATTATACTATTAATTTAATGCTATGAAACTTGCTTATTTTTACTGTATAAACATAATACTTTTAGTAATTTTACCATAAAACTAGTATTTAAATTAAACTACACCCATGCTTCATTTCTAAGAGTGCACTGTTGGTTATTCAAATATAATGAATCATTATTTGTTTGATAATATCCAAATAACAATATCTGGTAGGATGGTTAAACTTGCTTTTTTTTAAGGATAGAATATATCAATAGAATTTGATATAGATTAGAAGATACATAATAATTTATGTTAAATAAAATGTTTGGTTGTTCAGCATTACAGTCTCAGGTTTTTATTTTTTGAGAGTGCATTTTTGAGATTATACAAAAATGGGGGGGGGGGGGGGGGGGGGGGGGGGGGTGGTCAGGTCAGATGGGATGTCCCCACCAAAGCTGAGACCAAACCTACGCCCATGTATCACATAGAATATAATGAGGTCTCCAAAATGACACACTTCTAAACCAAGCAGTCAAATTTGCCTCCCGTCTTCTCATGCCATGTGCGATGCTCCTCCCCCTTCACGTAACTCACGTTATGACGCAAACTAATAATGCTCAACAGTCACTGGCCAACAGTACATTTATATTCAACACTATCCTATTGGATATAAAACAGAAACATGTAGTTGTTTCACATTGAAATAAATGTAGCCCGGTGTGAGTTTTAGTGACAAAACCGGACACAGGGATTTAAATTATTTGTGGGATCGTTTATTCCAGACTGCACTTGGAACAGCGCAGCGTTAACTATGCAAATCTTTATGATACTAGACAGGAAAGCTTGTTACATTGGTTGGAATCAATAAAGATGTTTTGTTATCAACTCTAGTCTCTCTTGTCTTTCTGTTCTCAGTCACCACATTAACAAATCAATTACAGGAATCTAATTAACATAGACAATGATAGTGGATTCGTATTCTGAAAAACACACAGATTATTACAAGATTTGTCAACACAGAATATCAAATAAAGCTGCTTATGTTACATAAAGCATGCATAAAAATAAAATTAGAAGTCACATTTCCCAGTAACATTGATACATTCCAAACATACACTGGCTAGTATTCACTCAATCTCAATCACAGTGAATTAACATTTATACACCAGAATAAATGTAACAATCTACTAATTGCCATAAACACATATGTATAAGCAATAAACACTTTTTTAGTATTAATTAGTCAACAACACTCACTCTGTTGCTTCACACTCGGCCTGGAAACACTCAAGTGGCCTTCAGAGTAGAGGTCTTCACGGGTCCACTGGGATCCGAAAACCCGAGGTCCGACCCGAGACCCGAGCGGGTTCGGGTCCAAAACTCCGACGAGTGTCTCGGACACGGGTCGGGTTCGGTATTAGTGGCCTCGGGTCTCGGGTAATTTAAAATAAATATGCCTTTTCCAAACGGACCCGAGAAGACCCGAATTCTTATAAACTATGTTGGGCATTTAACAAAATTGCAGTATTTAAAACAACTCTATGACACCGTTCTAAGTGAGAGAATGAATCCGCGCTTCTACGTGCAATGGGCTATAAGCATAAGCACGGTTGCCTCTGCATTTATTTACTCAGTTGCTCGCTCCACATAAACCAACCCCTCCCTTTGCCAAGAAGAACTAGTGCGCCATCATGTGGATGGATGTTTGACTAAATGCAAGTATTTGAATTGTCGTTAAGCCAGGCCTGTCAATCAATTTTAAAAATACGCGACACTGTCAGAAAAGCATGGAGGCGATAACAGACATTGCGAAAAAGGTGAGGGAAAATGAATATATAGAACAGAAACATCCAGGGTCATCATTGGTGTGGGCAACTTTTGTGATCATTGTTGAAAAGGAAGGAAAAAAGACTGGTGCAGTTAAATGCGTTGACTGCAATACCATATTAAGATTTGATTCAGCTAAAACAGGAACGTCCCATTTGCTGAAGCACCAGAGATCATGTCGGCACAAAAAACTGATGCAAAGCTCCATGCATTCGTTTGTGAGGAAGAGCAGTGGGGTACCTGCCCAGTATAAAAGGACAATACTTGAAAACTGCATTCGAGTCTGTGCCAAAGATCTCAGACCATACAGAATGTTTGAAACAAGCTCATTTTGTCAGTTAGCACAGAGCTTGATCGAGATTGGAGCTACGCACGGCCACTGTGATGTCAAAGATATTCTTCCCTCGGGAGTCACTGTTTCTCGTGCCACTTTGGAGAGGTGCCTTGCCTTAAAACAAGAGCTTTTACCTAAAGTCAAGCAGGCTATTGCTATGGCATTTGCTTGTGGAGCATACACTGACATGTGGACTGATGATTTTAGAAAGGTCAGCTACACATGCATCACTCTCCACTTCATAGATGAAGACTGGATGTTTCAGAGCCGGGTAATATGCCCCAGTGCTTTCCCATTTGACTCAAAAACGGCCGCAAACATAAAAACGGAACTGTTGAAACAGTTGCATGACTTCGGACTATCACAGGCTGAAATAGACAAACTTGTGTTTGTTAGCGATCAAGGCGCTAATATAAAGGCTGCTCTCAACAGCTGGAAACACAGAAGCTGTAATGCGCACGTTCTCAACACACACTTTCAAGAAGGGAATTGAAACAGGAGGAGGAAGATTCGTTACAGCCCGTGAGAGAATGTATTAATCAGTGTAAGTCACTGACGACATATTTTCAGCATTCTGGTTTGCAGCTCCACCTGACACGCACCCTCAAACAGGAATGTGATACTCGCTGGAACACTAAGCTCACAATGGTTGAATCGGTACTCGGTTCTTTCGATGATGTGCAAAGACTTCTTATGACAAGAGGGGAAATACACAAAATGAGTCACATCTCAAAAGATGTTCTCCAAATGCTAATTACATTTTTGACCCCATTCAAAACAGCAAGCGATGAACTGAGCGCGTCGAACTATCCTACAATCCATCTGCTGGCTTTATGGAAATCTACACTACTTGAGCACTGCGTAGTTACACCGACCGACCCTAAAGCACTCGAGATTCTAAAACGCAGAGCCAAAGATCTTCTGAGTGAACGAATACTACTCGACCGACAAGTAAAGCTTGCAGTGCTTTTGTGGCCTAAGTTTAAGCAGCTACGCATGTTCACAAACGAGGAGAGAGACGAAATATACCAAAGTGCCCGGAGCGAGTTGGACAGCATTCCCAGCCCAACAGACACGGACCCTCCAGTTCCAAATATTACTATCGCAGCCACAGAATGTGCTGCAGTTGCTGGTCCGTCTGCAAAGTTCAGCCAGTGGGAGGATGTGGATGACCAAGACATGGCAGTGGATGAGTTGAATACCTAATTGAATAAAAAAATGGTTATGCACGATAGTGACAGAGACATTTTAGGTGTATGGAAAAACACAGAACACCTCTTCCCAAAGATGGCAACTCTTGCACGGAAGATTCTGTGCGTTCCAGCATCCAGCGTTAGTTGTGAGTGTGCTTTCAGTGTGTCTGGGTGCGCTCTGGAGAACCGACGTACCTCTCTTGGTACAGCAAGTGTCAATGCTTTGCTCTTCCTGAACAGCAACGACAAGTAGGCTGAGATGAGAACTGTACACTGTAACATTTAACTGACTTTATTTCGAAACCTATATAGGATAAACCAGCATGTTAAATAGGGTTATCTCTGTTCTGTTCTGCGGTAATATTCCTGTCAATCGAGGCAATATTATTTTTGATGCTTTGGTTTTAAAAGTTCAAGTTTAAAACATAATGGTTTGCCTAATAGTTAGGCTTCGGATTGTTATTTTAAAATGTTCTGGCCAACTTTTTATTACTCTGCGATGAAATGTATATAGTGCGACCATAGGTCTATGATGTAAAAAAAAAAAAGAGAAGATTTTTGGAAGATGCGTGTCTGTTTTGCATGCATTGTGGTGGAGGCTATTTGTTTGCATTATATGATGATCACAAAGATTTTGTGTTGACAGAAATGTGGCTTCATAATATTTTATCATCAAATGTTTAAAGTTATTTATTGATTTATTAAAGTAAATTACCCCTGTTCATTCTAAGATGAAATAATAAACTAATGATTGATGTAAAAAAAAGCACCGCTTGATTGGTGAATATCCCTTAAGAAAAGCTAAATATAGGCTAAAAATTATATTCAATTATTTAGATAATTACCTCTAATATTTTGAAAAATATAATTTAAATGATTAAAATACCCTAAATAGACAATAATGAGCAATAATAATCCACCGCACTGCATAGGATATAAAGATGCAACGACAAATTAAAGCGCACAGTTTCACCTAATAAATTATTAATTTGCTTAGTTGTATAATTTATAATTTGAATAAGAGAACAACCCCAATAAACTTGTGGTAATGAGAAAATGTTTTTATTCATTAGGCTACATATCGGAATTTTCTTCAGGAAACGGGCAGACTTGAATAAATATAGCAACCAGCAAACAATAAACGATAAAAATTGCAAAACAAATTTTGAACATTTGTGAGTAGCTAAAACATCTTATTTTGTACGTGCGTTGTGTGACTGTTTACAGTAAGCAGACACGTTGCTCAAATAAAGAAAAGTTGCGAAAATAAAGACATGCCTACATGGTAAATTTGACCTGCTATGGCGGTTCTAATGCCCTGTTTTTAATCTGGTTTTATCTAAACAACGGGATTGAATAACACAAGTCAATGACTGAGAGAATTTGATTGAAAATCTGTTATAGGCTACATTTGAAAAACAGCCATCGGTAAATTTTACCCTGTGGTGGTTCTAATCATCGTATGGTCCGGTAAATAACATTATACCAAGTTTTATAGGACGTAATGGGTTACAGTGATGTGTGATTGACATTTTAGCACTTCAG